CCAGAAGAGGGCACCAGGTCTCATTACAGATGGTTGTGAGCCACCATGTGGTTGCTGGGAATTGAACTCAGGACCTCTGGAAGAGCAGCCAGTGCTCTTAACCACCGAGCCATCTCTCCAGCCCCCAAAAGAAAATTTTCTAGCCAGGTGGTGGTGGTGCACACCTTTAGTCCCAGTACTTGTGAGGTAGAGGCCAGGCCAGCCTAGTCTATAGGACACAGAGAAACCCTGTCTCAGAAAACCAATAAATAAACCAATAAATAAACAAGACTTAGAAATGTCTGCAGAAGTACAAGGACCAGGGAAAGCAGCTTCTGCTGGGGTCTGATGGATGTCACAGCACAGCCAAGCAGCATCACTGGACAGTGTCCACTTGGTGGTAAGGGACAGGCTCGGTTTGCCCCTTACCCACTCCTGCCCCAGTGTGCTGTGCCCTGGGTGTGTACCTTCTGAGCCTTGCTCCCCTGGGACATGGGGAGCAACATGCCCCCTTTGTGGTAGACAATGAGCCCAGGCCACGGGCCACCACTTCCCAGAACAGGCAGTACAGAGGCAGTGTAGACTTTCTCAGGCAGACAGCCCGGTGCCCACTCCAAGGACCTGAGCACATGCTCCAGGGCCCCCAGCCTGGACTGGGTGGCAGACAAGAGTGTGAAGGCACCTCCAGTGGCCACCACTGCATCTGAGACACCAGCATATAGGCAGCGGAAGATGGCCAAGACAGGTCCAGCTCTGACTGCAGTTTAGCTAGGGGTCCCTGCCATACAACAGGCCATGTGGACCCAGCACGAGCTGAGAAACTCATACGGCACATTCTAGGTTTCATGATTTCTTTTCTTGGCTGCCCTGGAACTCACTGTGTAGACCAGCCTGGCCTCAGACTCACAGCAATCCACCTGACTGTGCCTTCCTGAGTGCTGGGACCAAAGGTGTGTCACCACGCTTGGCTTGTGATTTTCTAAAAATCACAAAGGTCTCAAAGGTGCTCTCTGAGTTATAAAGTTTTTCTTGCCAAGCATGGTAGAGCATACCTGTGATCTTTGATTTCAGCACTCAGCACTCAAGAGGTAGGGGCAGGTGATTCTCTGTGAGTTCAAGACCAGCCTGGTCTATACAGTGAGTTCCAGGATACCCAGATTTGCATAGCAAGAACCACAAAAAGAAAAAAAAAAAAAGTAACAAAGCCGGGCGGTGGTGGCGCATGGCGCATGCCTTTAATCCCAGCACTGGGGAGGCAGAGCCAGGCGGATCTCTGTGAGTTCGAGGCCAGCCTAGTCTACAGAGCGAGATCCAGGACAGGCTCCAAAGCTACACAGAGAAACCCTGTCTCAAAAAACAAAAAACAAAAACAAAAAACAAAACAAAACAAAACAAAACCGAACAAATCTCCCCTCCGGCCAGAAAAAGAAAAAGCAGGGCTCTATGTGCAGAGGGATTGCAGTGTGAGCCCGCCGACCCCAGCCTGGTCTCCTTATCCACCTAAATGGGGCCCAGTGGCACACCTATAATCCCAGAGCTAGGGAGGCGGAGACAGGAGAGTCTGGGGTTTGTCAGGTCAGAAAGTCTGGCCTAACTGTGGGTTCCAGGCTGATCCCGTCTCAAAACAATAAGGTGGGGGATGACTAATGAAGAATATCCAACACCATCCTCTGTCCTCCACACACCTGTACATGCTCATGTGCATGCACCCCCCCAACACACACACACAAATAAGTAAACATTAAGAATTAGTAAGAAAAGACTCCAAAGAGGCTGAGGGGCAGGGCTGCTGCAGGCAGGCGTCTGGGCGTCCTCTCCACTGCTTCTCTGCTGTGTGGCTGGCATGGGGGACCTGGTCCCTTAACCCCCAGTTCCTTGTCTGCAAGGCGGCACTAAAGGGTAGCAGGTCACTGGAGACCTCATTTCCAGTAGTAAAAGGGCCCTGACAGGAGATGCCCGGCCTTTCTGCCTACTGTGAGGTCTGTTCTGGCTGGGCCAGTGTCCAGGTGTCCAGACAGCTTACCTGCTGGGCATAGCCTCGGAACATCGGGTTGACCAACTTGATCCCATGGGACAGGCTGGTGGGGACCACATAGCTTGGCCTGTGGGGAGACCAAACCTGCTAGCACAGGTGGCCAGCCTGGAGCTACGCCATGAGAGGCAAGAGGACAAGAGGCAAGAGGACAAGGCAGATCAGACCCTACAGGGACTGTTCCCACCACCCCCACTGGCCCCGCTGGCCAGGAGACAAGCCCACAGGGTCCACTGCTAAAAAACCCAAAGCTTCACAGAAGTACAATGAAATACTATAGCCAATGTGTCCCCACCAAAGAGGACACATCAAGACCCTAGTGGTCCCTAGAAGAGCAGGCTAAAGTGCACCCAGGAACCCCAACAGCAACTCTGACCTCTGACCTGTGGAACAGTGTAATCAGTTTCTTTTCTTTCTTTTCTCCCTCTCTCCTTTCTTTTTCCCCCTCTCTGAAATAGGGTTTCTCTGTGTAGTCCTGGCTTCCTGGAATTTGCTCTGCAGACCAGGCTGGCCTCGAACTCACAGAGATCCGCCTGCCTCTGTCTCCCGAGTGCTGGGACTAAAAGTGTGCGCCACCATGGCCGCCTGGCTGCACTGTTAGTTTCTTAATCCATCTCCACACCTAGTGTGTGTGCCTGTGGGCAAGTTCAAGTTCTCCCTACTTCACTTTCTTTATTTTACATTTGTTCTTTTGTTTGCTTGCGTTTGTAAGCTCGAGGACTATTTTGTTACAGTTTGAGGGAAGAACAGGGCAGGCATGCTGTAACCTTGCAGCTTCAGGGAGAAGGGACAGAAGGAGACGGAGAGTCGGCCACGCCCTGTGAGGTAGGGACTCCCAGCGAGCAGGCTCCGTTGGCAAGCAGCTGATGGGAGGGCCCTTCAGGAAAGGGTGAGAAGCCCCAAGGGCCAGAACAAGCAGGCTGAGGGTTTCGGCCAGGATGTGACGCAGGGACAGAGGGAACTTAGTGAGGGTCTGTAAGCAACTGCCTCCCCTTCCACTTGCCCAGAGAGATCATGCTTCTCATCTTTACATGCCGTTTACTCTGCCACAACCCTGGCCCGGCCAGCAGCACCCAACACTCCTGTACAAGCACCCCACCCCCAGCTACAGCCTCAGCTGAGACCCGACACTGCAGGATGGTCTGCAGCTCTCTGCAGAGACACCTGTCAAAACATCTGTCGCCCAGACTTGATGTGAGTTCAGACCCTAGCTCCACGGTCACGAGCCCCGTGGCTGGGAACAAGAATCACGTCTCCAGCTCTGTACCTGCCTCCCCATTCATCAGACATAACTAGATCAAACCAGATACGCGGTGCAGCCTTGCTGTGAGCATTCGGGCGCTCTGGAGAATCCAGAGGATGTGCTCCATCAAGAGAGCACAGACTGTCCTGCCCCACAGACCGAGTCAAGGTCAGACTCAGACACTCACCGTCTCTTGTGCCAGACCTCAGAGATCAACTTCTGGTAACTCCTGCACAAGGCTGGCTTCTTGTCCGTGCGCACCAGGCCACCACACTCCAGGAAGAACTGGGTGAGTGGGGGGCTGGGTTGTGGGTGGAGAGTCAGGACAGAAAAGAAATGGGAGGAACACAGTGTTATTCAGAAGGAGCTAGGTGAGGGCTGAGAGATGGCTCAGTGAGTCACCGAGCCTGGTAGCTGAGTTCAATCCGGGACCTAAATGGTGAAAGGAACAGCCAACTCCTAAGGCTGCCCATGACTCCATCCATGCTCACACACACATTTACAATAAATAAATAAAATACCTTTTTTTTTTTTTTTAAGGAGCAAAGTGAGCAACAAAAGACCAAAATGGCCATGGAAGATGAGGTCCCCACACCCAGAACTCCCTGCAGATGACTAGAAGGACCCCACCTAGACCAAAACTCCCCAAATTCATGTTCAAGTCCTGACCCCTCATGTCTGGGTATGTGACTGCACAAGAGACGGGGCCTTTAAGTAGTAGTCAGATCACTATGGAGGGAGCGCTGGACAGGCCCCAGGCCGGTCTCAGTGTCCTGACAGGAATTTTGGGGGGTACAGAGGAAAAGACCTCATGAGAATGTGACTACCTACTGGAGGAGAAGAGCCTGGGGAGAAACTGCTGACAGCGGGTCTCCAGGATTGAGAGCCAGGAAGGCCTTGTCAGCTGCAGCAAATAAATGTCCCTCTCTCCTGAGTCAGATGGGGGCTCCCTGCCACAGGTCCTGAGGCCGGCCAGGACTCTGTATGAACAGAGGTGGAGCACCCCCTGTCCCCCCAGAGCCTACACTGCAGGGCTTGTCAGGTGGGAGGGCACCTCCTCAATTGCCTTTCCACATGTTTTAGGAGTTATCACACTGCAGGAAACCACATATTCGCATGTATGAGCATGCACACACTGGTGCATGCACACACATATGTCAAACACATGCAAACAATGTCAATTGACCACATAGCCATGAGACAGCCACCGTGAACCTTTGGGGCCTGTCCTTCCAGACTTTTCTAGGTGTTCTTATCTGTTCCTTTCCCCCTCCTCCCCTCCTTTCTGCATGTATATTGGCTGTTAACATACAAACTATATATACATAGGGAAAAGGGGAAGGCTTCTGGGTTTGCCCTATCATTACTGGGTCAGGTGTGTGTGTGTGTGTGTGTGTGTGTGTGTGTGTGTGTGTGTGTGTGTGTGTGATGAACCCACATACTCTCAATCACAACTGTCTAGAGACCCCACTAAACAGGCCTGCACCACACCTGGCAACCTCCCTTCTACCTGCCAGGTTCTGCACCCCTCCCGTCAGCAAATGTTGGCCGACATTCCCCAAAGGACTGCCATACAACAAACTTATTCTCTTGCAGACAGGCCACGTGCACACAGTATTAGGGTGGAACCCAGGGACTCGCACATGCTAGGTCAACCCTCCCCAGTCACTGGTGTTGGGCACCCCTGTGCCTGTCATGCCTCCTCCTCTCTGGTCATGTGAAGGCTAGCATGAGGCTAACAGGGATGGCAGTCACTGGGCATGCCTAGTTCTAGGGCTTTTGGAGTCTGTCTTATCCCGTGGCCATGGCCATGGCCAATGCTCAAAGCGGAGACGGCTGCTCTTCCTAGGGCTTTGCCAGGGACACCTCCTGCCCTCCCTTAGGAGAGGACAACCTACCAATTTGACAAGGCCTGCAGGGCAGCGTTCATGTAACAGGAGTTCCCCAGGTTCTTCATGCCTGTAAGGCCTGAAAACAACATGGAGAAGGACTGAAAACCCTGTCCAGAAGGACCCTCACAAGCCTCCTCCACTGAGGAGCCCCACCCCAGGACCTACTGGAGCATAACTGTATTCCACCCAGAGATCCCTCAGAACACCTAAGCAGGGCTGGGTGTGCCAAACAAAAGGGCCCCTTAGCTACTCTGCCAAGCTCAGGCTCCCAACCACATGGGTAAGGAAGCCACACTCACAGGGCCTATGACCAACACTTCACGCAGCTGAGAAAGCAATGACCGTGTCACTAGGGACGGCACATTCTGTGCACATGCCACCCTGCTCACTGCATCATGGCAGGTGGAGCCAGCAGAGACAAGCCCCTGGTGCTCTCCATGCCCAGCCTGGCCCAATGGCTCCCCTGTTGTCAGCCATTACCTCGAGGTTTCAGGTCATCGTCCTCAGACTCAGACTCTCCTTCATCAGCCACAGCAATGGGGACGGCCTTCAGAGGGTGGGAGGGGGGTGGGGAGTCCTGTGTTAAAGACCCAAGTGAGGAAACTGGGGTGAAGAGGGGGACCTGATGCACTCACCTCCTCCCAAGGGAAGCATGTGCAGCCCCTCGGCATCTAGCTAGCCCTGAGTGACCCAACAAAGTGGAGGATATCACACAAGAGGGGAGATTGGGGACCTTGCCCTGGGAACTCCCAGTCTTGTGTTTAATTTGTAAGAACTGCTGTTTCCTTTAGAAGACATGGGAGGCAGAGGAGGCGCAAAGAAAAACCACACAATCCCAGTTTCTCGAGCAAGCACTGCTAACTATTGTACACATCTGGACATGTTTACCACTTGACACACAACAACAGATATTATACACTGTCATAGGCCAAAAAACTTAAGGGCTGGGGAGGCATCTCAGTGGGTAGGGGAGCACACTGCTTTTGCAGAGGACCCACATCAGGAGACTCACAAGCGCCTATCCCAGCTCCAGGGCATCTGATAATTCCTTCTTGCTTCCTCAGGCTCCTAAACTCATGTGCACAAACACATGCACACATGCAGAAGAAAAATACAATCTTCCTCCCTCCCCTTTCTAAAAATTAAAAATAAAAACTTTTGCAAACAGCTCCCGGTCACACTGTATTCAATAAATGCTTTTAGCTATGATATGCTGTCTCAGCAAGAAGCCAACAGAGAAACATGCACACACACACACCCCACCTGCACATATCCAAACCCTCCAGCACCTACCCACACACCCGCACACATCTCTGCCCACAATACCCTGGCCTTCCAGGATTGCTAGTCTAGTCTGACAGATGGGTTTGCTGGCCCCTACCAAGCACCAGCCAGGCAAGGGTGGATAGAGCCTGCCATCCTGAGGAGTGCCCAGTGCCCTGCTGCCAAAGGGACAGTTCTCTCACAGGGGTTTCCACAAAGGAGCATGCCACAGTAACTACTCTCGGGTTCCTCAGGATATACTTTAGGTGTGGAACTGCCAGGGACTTTGCTGAGTCCTCCTAGAGCCATGAATGGACCCCTGCACCTACCCAACCCTCCCTGCCCCTGCTCATCTGTCCCCTCCAGCCTTACACGGGTCCTATCATAACTGGGCTCAGTGAGCACTGAGATCCTTGTTACATACTTCCTCTGGACTCCCTGGCTCAGGTCACACTGCCCCATCTGGACACTGTTGTCCACCACCAGCCTGAGCTCTGTGCCCCTACCTGCTCGGAGAGCTTGGCTGAGGAGCTGGGCAGGTGGACTGCCAGGCGCTGCTCCAGGAAGACTTCGCGCTCACAGGCGTAGCACCACACCCGGAACGTGGTCAGGTTCACAGTCAGGTTGTGCTTTTTCACCTGGAGGGGGAGACCCCAAAGAAGGCTAAAGACAACATGGCGGCCGAGCAGATGCCCTGACCCAGCAAGCCCCCCGGACCACAGGAAGAGGCAGCCTGGTCAGTGTCCAGGAGCTGAGGCTGGCTCCTCCTCCGCCAGGGCAGCATCCACCAGACAGACAGGGCTCCTGTGGGAGGCTATGTCTGCTTCCCTTCCGGCAGCTCTGTCTGCAGCACCTGTGCTGATTTCTAGGCCCAGTCGCCAGCACCTAGGGCGGGTGGAGCGAGGAGGCTGGCAAGGGCTGGGCCAGGGCTCCCCCGCCACACCCACCTGTGCGTGAATGGTGCTGTGGTCAGCAAAGGACTCTCCACAGCCAACGTAGGGGCAGGTGACCTGGGGAGAGAGACACGAGAGTGGCCTGGAGGCCGCAGCAGAGACAGTAAGTCCCTAACTCTACCCCAAGGCAGTATGACTTGGAGCTATCCAACACATGCCTGAGGGGCTCCCACCCTAAAACAGCAAAGGCCTATGCAACCAAAGAAGAGGGTGACCACCAAAAACAAGTGGCCCTGCACTGAGTGAAGGAGACGCTGGGCCCAGATGCTGGGGCCAGTGCCTGTCCCTTACTTCATGGGCCAGGAACAAGGGACACTAAAAGGCCTGTGGGTGTTCAAAATAACAGAGTGTCAGCAGCCAGAGCCCAACACTATCCCAACATCCCATAATCGGGTCTGCTCACCTCTGACCCCTGCCTTTGACCCCACATTTGTCTCTCCCAGCTCTGCCTCCCCCAAACCCAGTTTCAGAGTCTCTTTCACGGGCCTTTACCCCAGTGTGGAAGACAGCAGACACCAGTCTCCCTTCTCCAGGAGGGCCTGGTGCCACGGACAGACAGTCTAGGGAAGACCACTGTCTTCGCCATAAATCCGTGGTCAAAGCATACCACTCCTGGTATCAGGCTCCCACATCTGTCCTCTGGAGAACCTGGGGTTCCCATGCAGTAGGACTATGTCCCTGCAAGCCCTTCTGGCTGTCTCCTGAGTACCTGGTGCGCTACAATCCTCATTCTGAGTGACAGGTCAGGGTACCTCTGGGGTCCTACAACTTCTGCAAAGATTGACTTGGTGTTTTCCTCACTTCACATCTTTTTGCTCCTGCTGGAGACTGACTTTTTAAGACGAAGTATGCCAGGTAACCCAGGCTGGCTGTGTAGATCAGGCTGAGTGCAAACCTGTGTCCATCTTCCTGCTTCTGCCTCTCACACATTAGGAGTACAGTTCGCATCAGCACACCCAGCTTGCTGGAGTTTATTTTTTAACATTTTTTTCCCTGAGCATGGTGGCATATGCTTTTACTCCCTTCAGGAGGCAAAGGCAGATGAATCTCTATGAATTCAAGGCCAGCCTGATCTACATAGTGATTTTTCAGGACAGTCAGGACTATGTAGAGAGATCCTGATTCTAAATAAATAGCTGAAAAATTTGGGGGCTGGGTCACATGCCTTTAATCCCAGCATTTGGGAGGCAGAGGCAGGTGGTTCTCTGATTTCAATGCCAGCCTGGTCTACAAAGGAGTTCCAGCACAACCAGGGAGACACAGAGAAACCCTGTCTCAAAAAAAAAAAAAAAGGATTTGTTTTAAACAAACAGACAGGGTCTCTCTGTGTAGCCCTGACTGTCCTAGAGTTCACTATGTAGACCAGGTTGGTCTTAAACTCACAGAAATCTTCCTGTCTCTGCCTTCTTCTGAGTAGTGAGATTAAAGATGTGTACTACCATACTTTTTTGTTGTTGTTGTTGTTTTTGTTTTTGGGTTTGGTTGGTTGGTTGGTTGGTTGGTTGGTTGGTTGGTTTTTTCGAGACAGGGTTTCTCTGTGTAGTTTTGGTGCCTGTCCTGGATCTCACTCTGTAGGCCAGCCTGGCCTCGAACTCACAGAGATCCGCCTGCCTCTGTCTCCCAAGTGCTGGGATTAAAGGTGTGTGTCACCATCGCCCAGCCCATACATGGACTTTTAAAAAGAAATTTTAAATAACATTTTTGAGAGTCATTATAAAAGTTACCACATATCTATAGGAAATTTGAGTACTACTTGTAATTCTACACCCCAGAGAAAAGTGGCACATCTTGATACATCTACTTTCATTCTTTCTTTTTTCTTTGACACAGAGTCCATGTAGTCCAGGCTATCCTGAAATTCGCCATGTAGACCAGGCTGTGCCACCACACCTCCCCACTTCACTCTTTCTGATGACGGCATTCACAGCACTAAGGGACTCCCTGGATGCTAGTGAGGGCTGCAGACCACCTTAGGCCTTCACAACCTGTCACAGTATCTGGTTACCCCACGGTGTCCCCACTGGAGGGCCTGTAGACAGCGTGACTACCGTAGTTCACACACAGGGAGGGACGTGAGGCCCTGGAGACACTGCTCCTGCCAGGAGGCTCCGGCCCCAGCCAAGACTCCACACAATCAGCGGTCGTGGAGACAGGCCCACCTGGCTCAGCGTCTTCCCCACTTTCTTTTGTCGCTCTTCAAGGTCGCCTGAGCAGCCACCCCAGGAACTATCCCTGGAGCCTGAACTTGCATAGTACCCAGTGGGGCTAGGTACTCCCAGGCCAGAGTTCAGACTGAGCCCACCTGTGGACCATGAGGATTCTTTACCTGGAGGCAGGCCCATAGGTTAGGTCCAGCGACACCACATGACTGGCAGGTTCCCTGAGGGAGGGAGGGAGGGAGGGGGGGGGAGGGAGAGGTGTAAGCGGCCAAGGCGGACAAGTACAGGGCATCCTCTCCATCAGCTGCCGCTCACGTATCCCAAAGGCCTTGGCCCTTTCTCAACCTACCATCTACACAGGGGCCTGTGGGTACTTTGTCTGAGCGAGTTTTTTAAATCACATGTTTGCAAAGGTATTTCAAGTCAAATCACTTAAACCTTAAGTGGACAGCAGACTCCTCACACTAACCCCCCCCCCCAGTTCTTCTGTGACGTCAGCTGAGGGGAGGGACTCCAGCCCCGCCTGAAAGGCAGTCTCTGTTTCCATTAGCAACATTCCAGCAAGGAGTCAGCCAGCGGTCCCCGGATGTCTGCACTGGACTCACTGTCCACGCCTGCTTTCGTCCTTGTCCCTCAGAGGCTTTTAACACTACTGGCCTTATTCTGGAACTTTCTGATATCCAGAGAGATGCTCAAGCCGGCTTGGTCTTTCTGCCAGACCCAGCCAATCCTCCCGCACTCCTCCTCTTCCTCCCTACACTAACTTCGGCCTCCTCTGAAGAAAACCTGTGGTCTGCTCACTTCTTTTATTTTGTTTTGAGACAAGGTCTCACTATGTAGCTGTGGCTGGCCTGGAACTCAGAGATCCATCTGCCTCTGCTTCCCAAGTGCTAGGATTAAAGTCCTGTGCCACCAAACCTAACAACCCAGGGCCTTGCTTGCACTCCAGCACGGAGCCACACCCTCAGTCCTTGCAGGCTTTTTACAGAATTTCACTTCAACACCTAGAAGACAAGGACTACCTGTCACTCAGGGAGGAAGCTCATCTTCCTCCTGCTGGCATCCCAAGCAAGCTAGGGGCTACATCTGTAAGAAGGGATGGGAGGCCAGGGTGTGGCTCAGCAGTTCTGTACTTGCCCAGAGTGCAGAAGAAAAACAAGAACCACCTCTGTACGATCATGCCTGCCTTACGAAGGCTGTGCACCCAGCCAGTGGAAATGGATGGAGCCATTAGTGACTCTCAGGGGGTTGATCTAAACTGATTAATGGCAGCAGGACCCAGCGCCGGAAGAAACTCCCAAGCAGAGGCCAGCAGGGCATTACACACAGAAGGCTTTCAGGGCTGGGGGCGGGGCGACACCGCCCTGCCTCACAAAGGTCCCCCAAGCATATGGCAGCCCAGGGCTGGGCCCCAGTTGCTGAGGACTGTTCCTCTACCTTAGACTTAAACAGCAAGTCCTCTTTGGTCACCTCCCCTATGGAGTCCAGGTGAGGGCAGATGTCTCTGGCGTCTCCCATTCTGACCCAGGCTTCCCTGGAAGGAGACAGAGCAGGTTAGCAGCAGCCCCTGGTGACGATACCACAGGGAACGAGAGGTCACTGGCCCCCAGCCCCATCTCACACCAGCCGGTCAGCCAGCAGGCTGCTCCGCCTCCCTGGGCCCCCTCTCCTGGTCTGAGGAGAGGGCCGCTGTCTCACTAGGTTGGTATGAGGGTCCACAGAGCTAAGGGTGTCAGAGCAGGCACGTGGCTTGAGACAGCATTTGGGACAATGTTCACTGGTGGGAGACACTGGAGTCCTGCCAATCCCCAGGAACTGCACACTGCCCTGTCCAGACCCACAGGAGCTGTAGGTGATTTAGGAAGAGGTCAAATTCATGTCTGTCATCTCCTCCACCGGGTGGGCAGGCAGAGGAATGGCTGGCTTTCAGAACTGCCTTCTCTGACCGGCAGGGCCGTCCTCTAAGGAGCCCAGGGGAGGCTGAGTGCCTGAAGCGACAGTCTCTGTGGAGAAGCTCAACTGGAAGTCACGTCAGAGGCGGCCCAAGTGGCCCAGGAGCCCCCGAGGACAGGGAGAGTGGCTGAGCACTGGCGGAAGACTCACCCAGGAAGCAGGATGGAAGAGGTCGCCAAAGTGTCAACAGCAGCGTATCTGGGTGACAGATGTCATGGAGTAGAAAAGTTAGCTTTGCTGCTGTGGTAAGTGACACACTCACAGGAAAAGCAAACTCGGACACAAAGTACTAGGGCAGAATAGCTAGGTCCCTTCATTTGTGACAGACATCCCTGCTGATGTTCATCTGTAAACCACTTCTCTTTAATCAGGAAAAGAAAAAGGAAATCTGTCTGGAAAAACCAATGCTTTCCTGCCAGCTGGGGGCGCATTCTGACCACCCAGGCTATAGTCTGGTCACAAGGCAGAGGTGTTACACTAGGCAGGCAGGCTGAGGGAGGGCACACAGGATATCCTGGCACGCTTTTGCAAAATCCTGGGAATCTGATCCTTTTAAAAGGAGACACCAGGTCTCTAGTGGTCATGTCTATAATCTCAGCACCTGAGAGGGAGCAGGACAAGTTAAAGGCTGGGGCTGGAGAGATGGCTCAGCGGTTAAGAGCACTGGCTGCTCTTCCCGAAGACCTGGGTTTGGTTTCCAGCACCCACATGGTGCGTGGCTCACAACTATCTGTAACTCCAGAGGGTCAGACACCCTTTTCTACCTGCTGCAGGAACAAGGCGAGCAAATGGTACACACACATATATGCTGACAACACAATCACACACACACACACACACACACACACACACACACACGCAAAATAAAATAACTAAAAAAAAAGTTCAATATCATCTCTGCTACACAGAAAGTTGGAGACTAGCCTTGGGTATATGAGACCTTGTCTTAAAAAAAATCAAAACAAAGCCGGGCGGTGGTGGCGCACGCCTTTAATCCCAGCACTCGGGAGGCAGAGCCAGGTGGATCTCTGTGAGTTCGAGGCCAGCCTGGTCTACCAAGTG